GGGGCATTGACCAGTGAGTGGCCCTTGGGGTGGGACACGTATGGGGCAGCAGGGAAGGATATGGGTTTCCCGGCAGGACCTTCCAGAACCTGCCCTTACCCAAGGTTTCTCCCCAGTGCTGAGTGAATCCCAGCATGTTCTATTGGCCCAGGCGCTGGAGACAGGGGCCCTGTCAGGGCAGCTGGAGCTGGTGAGAGGGCACAGGTTGTGGGGGACGGGCTGGTCCTGTGGAATAGGGCCTGGGTGTGTCTGGGAAGGGGTCGTGTGAGCAGGTGCTGGGTGCCCAGGGGCTCAGGACTATGGCTTCCAGGGTACTTGGTCTGACCACCTCCCACCCTGTCCTTTCAGGTGGGGAGCCTCTTGGAGCAGAGCTCCCCATGGCAGCAGAGTTGTGCCGTGTCCCTGCCACCCAGGCTCCTGGGGAGCAGCTGGGGCGAGGAGGCACCCACTTGGGTCTTGCTGGAGGAATGCAGCCTGGAGCTGCAGGTGGGCGCCCCCCACGTGTTCTGGGAGCCGCAGGCCCAGGGCCCCACATGTGCACTCTACACCTCCCTGGCACTCCTGTCAGGGCTGAGCCGGAAGCCCCACTAGCCTGCACGCCTGCACAGCTCCCCGGCAGGGCAGAGCCTGTGTCCACCCCACTGCCAGCCCCAGGAAGGCAAAGAGCCCATGGAGCCAGGGAGTTGTGGAAACTCAATAAAGGTGATATATGAAGGAAGGCTGTCACTGAGTCTTTGAGGGGTCCTGGATCGGAGGTAGAGTGTGGAGGACAGGCGTCTGCCCATGAGCTTGGTCCTGCTCCACCACGGTACGAAGGGTGACCAGCCACATGGCCATGGGGGGGGGGGGGGGGGGGGGGGGGGGGGGGGGGGGGGGGGGGGGGGGGGGGGGGGGGGGGGGGGGGGTCGTGTGTCAGCTATTGAAGGGACCTCTGCTTCAGGGAACTTGGGACATATTGCCAAAGGCAGTGTGCCCACCCTGGGCACACAGGGGCTGGCGGGGGTTCTGGCATGGCTGACGAGCAGCCAGACCCTGAACTCCTGGGGCTACACAGGAGGCTCCTGGAGAAGTAGTGACCTATATGGAGGACACTGGACTTAAGCTGTTTCAACCAAATGCATTTGCTAAGAGCTAAGAGTCTGTCTGGGGTGAGGAGCCTCCTAGCCATGAGGTGCAGATCTCTGAGAGTTCAACAGGTCTCAGAACACACACTGAGTTCATCACTTGCTGGCACTCACAGCCGTGGTCCAGGGCTAGGTGGCGACCCGTGGTCCCAGATGCAGCCAGGCCAGAGTGATGCTGTCAAGCCTGGAGCGTGCACAGCCGGGAGAAACATGGCTTCCTTGGTGGGGACCAGAGTCTACCCACACAGTGTAGCCCAGCCTCCCACCCACTTCCCAGCACGCCATTGACAGCTGACCTGTAGGACTTGCTCAAGAGAAAGGACAGTAGATTTGGCCATGGCTGGGACATTAAACCCCCAAGAAAAGCCGGCATCCAAGCTCAAGAATGAAATTAATATTGAAACAGAAGACAGTGGACCCCAAATATCTCAGATCCAGTTACGGAAACCTCCTAGAAACCAGCCTCCCCCACACACAGTGAAGTGAGAAACTCAGTGCCCCGCAGGCCCGTGGTCCTCCTTTGAAAACCCTCTTTGGGCCCAGCCCGTGGCTCACTCGGGAGAGTGCGGTGCTGATAACACCAAGGCCACAGGTTCGGATCCCATATAGGGATGGCCGGTTGCTCACTGGCTGAGCGTGGTGCTGACAACACCAAGCCAAGGGTTAAGATCCCCTTACCGGTCATCTTTAAAAAAAAAAA